CTATATATCATAAGTAGAGTACTGGAACTTAGCATCCATTAATTTCTCCCTAAAAAGGATACTATCTTATCCTTTTTGGTTGAGTATTGCACCAATTCCAGCTTGTGAGGCAAATGGGTTGGTTGACTTACTGACTAAGCAAGGGGTGAACAGAAACGTGGAGGCGTGACGCGAGGCGTTCCACTACCTAGAGGCGTGAGGCGTAGTTCAGAACGCAAGAGGCGTAAGCCTCCCGAACACAAGGAGACTTATGCCTCCTTAAGAGGAGCGGGGTTAGGAGGAAGGGAAGGAGGATGAAGAGGAAGGGGGGATCTCATTTTTTTTCTTTATTTTTAATAAAAATCTTTTATATTAAGAAGAATAAAGATGCATAACATTAGTTGAAAGGGGGGGTGGTCTTGTCGAAGCGGAGGCGTCGCCGGATTAATGGAATGATTTTGTGTGCAAGCCAGTGAGATTTGCCAAAATGGAATCTTTTTAGATTAATGGGCAATCAAGGGTGTTTTTGGTTGAAATTTGGTAGGGTGGGGTTTTTAAGCATTCTTGGTTGAACGTTGGGGTTAGATTGGCCCAATTGGGCCCGAATCAAGCAGATCTGGAGGGTGAGTGATTCGATCAATCTAGAACTTTGAAATAAAATTTTTATGTGATGGAGGGGAAAATGAAGGAATCTTTGGTTGAAATTTGGCAAGGTGGGGGTTTTGAGCATTTTGGACAGATTGGTGGGATCAGACTAGCCCACCTGGGCCTTGATCAAGTAGATCCAAAGGGGAGAATTTTGATTAATCTGGAGCTTTGAAATGGAATCCTGGTGTGATGGAGGGGTAATCAAAGGTATTTTGGGTTGAAATTTTACAAATGAGGGTTTTAGGATGTTCGAAATCTAAAGGTGATGTTTGATTGGTTTAGGGGGTCAAGATCGTTGGAATTTGGGCCAACGAGAGGATCCAAAATGAAATCTTAGTTTGGTAAAGGGGTAAATAGGGAATTTTGGGTTAAAACCTTGTGGGTGGATGTTTTTGATGTGTCTAGGAGTCTAGGGCTAAATGGTATGGTCCGATGGGTTCGGAGGTATTAGGATCAAGGATATTTGGGTCATGGATGTTTTAGGTTGACGTGAGGGCTCGAAAGGGAATCTTGGTGTGATGGAAGGGTAAACGGAGAAATCTTGGGTTGAAATTTCATAGGTAGGTGTTTTAGTATGTTTGGACTTTGACGGAAGGGTAAAAAGAGGAATCTTGGGCAAGGATTAAAGTATCAGTATTAGGAGTGAGCATTATTCGGTTAAAACCGAAATACCGAACCAAAAATTTTGGTTTCGTTTTTTTTCGGTTTTTGGGTAATTCGGTTCGGTTAGTTCGTTTTTTAGGAATTTCAGTTTAAAGTTTCGGTTTTTAGAGTTAGAAATTTGGTTAATCGAAAAAACCAAATTAACTGAAATTCATTATATAATATATATAATATAATGTACAATATATAACATTTAATGTATAATATGCTATATATTTATATATTAATATATTATAATTATAATGAAATTCAATTTTATAATATATATTATAGGTTATAATATATAATATTATATATATTAATTAAATTCGGTTTTTAACCAAAATAACCGAGAATTGAACTGAAAATTTCGGTTTCAGTTATTTTGGTTTTCTTGTAATTTGGTTTCGGTTCGGTTTTCATTTTTTATTTTGGTTTATTCAGTTTGGTTTTTCACCAAATGCTCACCCCTAATCGGTATCGAGTATCGTATCGGACAACTTGGATACGGATATGGATACACTTTGGAAACGCATGGATACAGATGAAAAATATGGATACGCTAGGAAAACACATAAAAATTTCATAATACATTAATAATATTAAATTTAAGGTCAAATAACCATAAATAATGTATAAATACATAGAGAATGTATATTTTAATGGTGTACATGAAAAAATATATTACAATTAATATAATATGATGCATAGATATCATACAATGTTATTGATAATGTATTAATCAAGAGTCCAAAGTGCAAAAACATATTTTCCTATTATATTTTAATTATTATGTCACTTATTTTCGACTTTACTATTTTTACTTTTTTACATTAACAAAGAGGTCAACCAAATATTAAATTCTCTATGTAAATTAAAATATTCGTTAATAGTTTATAAAATGTATAATCTCAACTTAAAATATATCAAATCTATTAAAATTTCTAAGATACATATCATATGAAAATTCATAATTTTTAACTATTGAAATGATTATTCCATTATTATATTTTTATTCCTTTAATTTTCTAATTAAAAATCTTTCTTTTTTTGTATAAATGTAGATTAGTAGATTTGATAGATTCAATTTAAGATTATATACTTGAATATTTTGTAAACAATGTTTTTATTTTCTAAATAATAAATATGATTTTATGTAATGTGAATTAGTATATATATATATATACCATGTGCAAATTTATAAATTTTAAGTACTAAATTTATTACTCTCTTATTAATTTTATATTTTTATAATTTTTTGAGATTCAAATAATATTTTGAAATAAATGTGGATTTGATATATTATTTATTTCTATTATTTTATAAAATACTGATTTTAAGTATTACTTTTTTAATTTTTAGTTGGAGTTAACCATAATATGTATTATTTATTTGAATTGCATTTAACTAATAAAGAAATAAAATCTGTATTCTTTTACTCATAAACGCAAAAGATGGAGTGGCGTAGTGGCTTACAAGCGCGGATGTTAAGCTCTCCCTTAGCTCTTGACGCGAGTTTGAATCCTTGCAACTTTCTTTTTTTGTAGAAGAGTATGCATATGAACATTCACGTCTCGCGGATAACGTATCGTTCTATATCGGTCCTATCACACTGTATCAGCCCGATACACACGATTGGTAGGATACATCTTCAGTTGTAGTGTATCCCATGCCGGACACTAACGATACCGATACGATATGCCCCATATGTTATGTATCATATCTATATTTCAATCATTGATCCTGGGTTGAATTCCAAGAACAATGTCTACTCCACTAAGCTCTAGTGGATACAGATCAACCATGAACTTCTAGCCCTGGATTCTCAACCAGATGTCTGTACAAATGCTGTCACAGAGATGCAATGTCCCATTTGCAATGTGAACCTTGAATGCTGATGTGGGTTGGATTGGTAATCCCAGTTGTTTTGCTAATACTTCTGTTATGAAATTCAATGTGCTACCACTGTTATTCAAGATTGACTTGTGGCACCCTTTTACCATTCCCGAAACTCTCATGGTCTGTAAAGAGTTAAGCCCAATAAGTGCCTGAAGGGATATCTCTTCAAGATGCTCCTTGGCCCAATATTGGTCTATTGATTCATTCTAATGTATACCACTCTTGATTCCATCTTCATTGTCATCCTGAAGGGTATAGATTTGCTAAGTTTTGCACCTATGACCAGGCCTGAACTGTTCTTTACAGTTTTAGTAGAGATCATTGTCTCTACGGGCTTGCATTTCAGTCCGTGATAATTTCTAAAAAGGGAAAGTTGGACTAGGGATTAAATTCATGGGCCCTGAATGCTACCCTCTTTTCCCGGTTTGGTTCCATCAATTCTTGGGCTGTTGGATCTTGGAAGGTTGGTTAATCTTCGCTATTGTACCTAGGGTCTGCCGGTCCTCTTTACACGATTCAATTTTTCCTCTTGAGTCATGACTATGGATGGTTGTAGTGTCTTTGCTTCTGATTGGATATCTTCCTTGAGTCCTTTTACAAAAGCTTCGACTAGCACACAATCTGGCCAACCAATTCGGATGGCTAAACGCTCAAACTCCGTCTGGTAGACGCGGACGCTCCCAATTTGCCTTAGTTTTGCAAGATTCTCGTTGAAGTCTTCATAACCAAACACACAAACTCTAGCCAACCATGTACTCGGATGGCTAAATGCTCAAACTCCATCTAGTAGTTGCAGACGCTCCTAGTTTGCCTTAGTTTTGCAAGATTCTTGTTGAGTTCTTCATAACCAAACTCCCCAAATTGAATGCACAACACAACCATGAAATCCATCCACGACAATCTGGGGTGTCCTCGTCAAAACCATTGATACCAAAGAATCACTTCATCTTCTCAATGAATTGGTTTCAAAGCTACATGATCTTGGCCAGGGGTTTCGTTGTATTGAAAGAACTTCTCGGCCCTATACATCTATGGAATTAGATCTCCATCAGGAAAGATGGGGAATGCAAGTTTAGGGCTCCTCTCTGGCTAGGGGTTGCTTCGTTGATTACTTCTTTGGGTCCCCCTTCATCTTGATCAATCCCTCTACTGCCATCGCCCCCAGGGCAGATAACATATCCTTCATTTCCCGTATGCTGTTGAAGATGCGATGGATTTCTACTTCGACTTTGTCAACTTTGGCTTCCATTGATGTTGCTCTTTCGAACCACCTTCTGAAAGAGAATGAGAAGATGGACGAAAGAAGAGGGAGGAGAGAGAGAGAGAGATAGAGAGCGAATGAGCGAGAGTTGTCTGAGTAAATCTGTCCGGCTCTTCTTCTTGCTCTGTTTGTATTTATACAAAGGTAATCTGTTACATTCTTGATGGTTACATCTCATTTTCTTGCTACATTCTGTTATTCAACTTGGTTGTTTGTTGTATCTGAGAGTTCTTGTGGACCTCTTCTTTTGTAAGCCTTTAGTATTGGCTGGCTACTCCCATACATGGGCGTAAGTTCGGAACAACTGCATGTTCTAACAATCAAAGTCCAAACTAGTTAGGGGTGACATTTATAGACCCAAAGAGTAGACATATTCATAGTTCACTGTTTTTAATATAAAATGTGGATGTCAATCCTTAAATCGTTGTTGAATCTATTTAGATGTTTATCATGCTTGACAATAGCAAAGATTTGCTTTTCTCATATTAATTTCATTATCTTTGATCCATATAGAAGTTTCATATAGCTTTTCCCATACAACTAAGTTATCTTTCTTTTACTATTTTTTCAGGGTTATTCATCATTGGCTATTGCCTTGGTCCTACCAGAATCAGGTTATTTGGTTGCATGTGAAAGAGATGAAAAATCTCTTGAGGTTGCAAAAAGGTACTACAAGCGAGCTGGTGTTTCTCACAAGGTGATTTGCTGAAGTTGTATATAAACACTAGTTTTAGTATTTTAAAATGCTTGTTATTCTGGATTGTTCAATAGTTGTCTTGTTTTTATTTTTGGTAAGATAGGTTATCTTGGTTCTTAGTTCTCTTTCCTTTGATTGCTACTTAGCCTTTTCCTGAATATAAATGAAACATTTGGTCATAATAACCATGTAGGTCTTCAAATCTTTTGAACATATTCATGACTGTCATTGCTATCATTCTTTGAGCCTCATTTGAACCTTTTGAATTGGCTACACAGTATGTAGGTAGAGTTTTGCACTTTTTCGTACTGAATCATCAAATTTGTGTTAACCATCTTTTATTTGTAACACTTGTGCAATCGTATGTCTAATAGTATTGTTACAATAGATTAAAGCCAATTTAATTTTCAAATTGGAAACTGGTTTAGGTGGATGTGAAACATGCCCTAGCAGCTGATAGTTTAAAATCCATGATTTTGAATGGAGAAGCTTGCAGGTATGTCCCATATTGTTTAAACCTATTAAGTAATGTATCTACTTTTTAAAATCATCATAATTGATGCTCTATATTATTGGTGGTTTTTCCCATTATCCTAATGCTCTTAGGATCCATTTGGTTTGCAGGAATAGGGGTCTGGAATCGGAATTGAAATGGGTTATTCCCATTCCAACTGTTTGGTTGGGCGGAATCGGAATCTCATTCCCATTCATGCTGGAATGGCATTCCCCCATTTGAGGGAATGGCCATTCCCTGCCCCTCCCTTGGGAATGAAATCCCATTCATGCTGATTTTAATTCCCATTCCCATTCCTGTCTGAACCAAACAAACTATGGGAATGGACCATTCAATTCCGATTCTGGAGGATTTCGATTCCGATTCCGATTCCGATTCTGACTACGAACCAAACGGACCCTTAGATCCTTTTGTCAGATGTATTCATAAATGATACCAAATGTACAAACAAATGTGAGTCCTTATTATTTTTGAGCAAAAGGAGAAGAAAGAACAAGGAACACATGCTTAGGTTCTATTTGTTAGAAGGGTTAAGATCCATCATATGGATGGCTAAACCATGCTAGATGGTTGGGCGAATTTCAAAAATTTTCCTAACCCATCCCAGGAACTGATTTCCTGGTGATTTTGAAAACTAAATTTTCTATATCGATCTTGCCCTGAATCGGACTAGATTTGAAAGCAAACTTTACCTGATTCGGAGACCACAAATCACAGCTCCCAAGGTGAAATTCACGCTCAATAACAGTCCCAAAATTGGCCTCCAACTGAAGATGGTGTAGTATAACGGAAAAATCGATTCAACAACACTTATTCCAGCAACTCTACTATCCAACTTGTTTGGATCGAGTGAGATGTGTGAGCTTGAATTTCTTGAATGTTTTCTCTTGAAAAAACATAGAATAAAACTGATAAAATCAGTTCTTGAAAGCCTAGGTCGAATTAGGGTTTCTTGAGAGACAAGACAGAAGAGAAGAGAACAAGAAGTAGAGAGAGTCCAAGACTGGTTTGCCCACTTCTCTCTTTATCTCTTTATGGAGAAAACTCCTAATCTGATTAGGAGATGATCCAAATATGATTTCGATAAGAACTTTTCTTTTCTTAATTGATAAGCATTATCCTCTTAAAAGGATAAGTGCTCTATACCCAGATCCATACCCAGTTTCGACCCAAATCAAGTTGTCATGTGACCACTTAGATAATTATATTAGTAATGGGCCTTAGGTCCATTTCTCTTGAAGGTTCACACCCCTAAGTGTTGCATGGCCACTTTGGGCCTGATATTGTATAGCGTGGGACCCCACAAAGTTCTCACACAAGTCCATGAGGGTTCGGCCCCACCTCTGAATGAGATTAGGCTGAATTCACTACTTAGGGCAGTGAACCACTCAGCCAATCAACATGGGCTCAATTTGGGCCCAACATTTACACCTAAATGATCATTGGATTCGGCCATCCTATGAAGACCTGAGGATAATGGACTTATGTGAGATAAAACCCATCAGGTAATCAGCCCTGTAATGGTCTCTTACACTTAAGCTCTCGGCCCATAATCATCAGAACACTGCTTGACAAGGAAGGACCTCTCCCCTGGCTGTAAGGTGTAGTGTCACACTCTTTGCTCAGATGGATCTCGGGATTAAAACCTTTTGCAGACCTTTTTCATAGAATAATAATATAATATATAAATATATTTTGCAAAACCAGATTTCAAAAACAAATGAAATCCATTGCCGATAGTTTAGGTTTCCCTTAGAGAGTGTAAACCTTGATATTCATTTTGTCCGACAAAGGGGTCGATCCTATCACTACGATCACCCACTCAAGTAATTTCCTAAATTGCCCCAACATGCCTAGATATTTTGACCTATGATGGATATCACTGGTTGGCACATCAAAGGCAGCCTGGTCCACTACTTAGTGCAATATCATAATAAAGTCCGGGGTTATATGTAACTTTGTAGTTTTGCCCATCTATCTCCAAGGTCCAGGGCATAACTAGAAATTGGTCCGGGTTCAGTGTTTTTTATAAACACCCACTGGCTGTGCTTGGGGTCTAACCTTAGGTTTTAAAATGGAAGAAACTACAAGGTTGCCTCTCATTAGACAGGTAGTACTTGAAAGATTTAAATACATAATGGCCCATGCCCGTTTAGCCCAATATGAAACAAAGAGAAACACAAGAGCAATACAAGTTACAACCCAGCCCATATCTAATTAATTCTCACAACACTCCCCCTCTAGTTGAGCATAGATATTTGTCCTCAACTTTCCTAATAATTCATGAAATCTTGTGTTTGGTAATACTTTGGTAAAATCATGCTAATTGTTTTCTAGAGGTCAAGTGGGAAATTCATTAGTCTCTTGAGGTGATCATTTTTCGAACAAAATGTCTATCAATTTCAATGTGTTTTCCTCTATCATGCTGGACAGGATTGTTTGCTATGTTGATGGCAGCTTGGTTATGACGGTATAGCCTTAAAGGGCAATCAATCTGGATTTCCATCTCCCTTAGCAAAATCCTAATCCATAGAAGTTCAGCTAAACCATGAGCCATTGCCCTATACTCAGCTCTAGCACTGGACCTAGCCACAACAATTTTTTATTTGTGGATCTTCTATCCCCAACAAGCCCTGTCCAATCAGCATCTAGAAAATCTTCAAGTTCTAGTTTATCATGCTTCTTGAACTATAAACCCATTCTTGGGCACAGCTTGAGGTATTTTAGAATTTGTTTAACAACTCTCATTTGGGAATTTCTTGGCACTTGGCTACATGGATAAATTGGTTTTCAATATGCATTGCATAAACTATATTAGGCTTGGTAAGTGACAAATAGTGAAGTTTACCAATCAGGCATTGATACCTTTCTTTAATAGTGTACAATTCATTATTACCTTTTTGCAACTAATGGTTCTTTTCAATTAGAGTATCAACATCTCTACTCCCAATTTTCTTGTTTCCTTTACTAAATCCAAGGCATATTTTCGTTGGCATTTGTCTATCCCTTCACTAGACCTTAACCTCTATAGTCTATCCCAAGAAAATATCTTATAAGACCTAAGTCCTTAATTCGAAATTTTGATGCCAAGAAGTATTTCAATTTTTGAATCTCTTTTGTATCATTTCCAGTGATCATCATATCATCAACATACACAATCGTGCAGATAATTTGTCATTCACCTTCTTATGGAATAGTGTGATCAGCATTGTTTTGCTTATTTCTCACATTCTTCATGGCTTTACACAGTCTCTCAAGCCATGTTCTTGGAGATTGCTTCAAGCCATACAATACTCTCTTCACTCTACACACTTTACTTTTCATTTCATATCTTGGAGGAGAATCCATATAAACTTCTCTTGAAGGCCTTCATTTAAGGATGCATTCTTGACATCTAGTTGATGCAATTCCTAAGAGAAATTTGCATCCGAGGAAAGAAGAACCCGTATAGTGTTTAGCTTTGCAATAAGAGCAAATCTCTTTATAGTCAATGCCCTCCCTCTATGCAAACCCCTTAGCAACTAGCCTTGTCTTATATCTCTCCATAGACCCATCTGCCCTGTGCTTCATTGTACACACCCATTTGCAACCCCATAGTTTTCTTCCCTTTTGGTAGATCCACTAATTTCCATGTGCCAACCTTTAATAGTGTTTTCATTTCTTCATTCATTACTTCTCTTCGCTTGGGATCAAGAATAGCTTCTAAATACATAAAGGAGTGGTGATAAAGAACAATGTAGACATAAAGGAATAGTAGGTAGGAGAGAGGTGGGAGTACAAAACAAACATAGATATTAGGTGCAAAGTACATGAATGAACCTATTTACGTAAAGTAATAGGTAAATCCAAATTAGAGTGTGAGATGATACCTTGGTCAGGTTGAATGACACCAAATTAGTCATAGCCTTTAGTTGGAGGATCTCCTTCAAAAGGGTAATAAAATTCTCTCTTTCTTTCTTCTATACACACTCATCTCAATCTCATTTGTCCATCCATCTTGTATAACAGGATGAATGGTGAGAGGAGTCGCATCATGACAAGGTGGAATAAAAGAAGGTGGAGATGAATAACCTAGATGATAAGGTTGAGGCATAAAAGGATTTACCTCAAACAAGGTCTCTTTCACCCTATTAGTCTCCCCCTGAAGAGAATTACAAAGAGGTTCAAAGAAAAGCTAAGATTCAAAAAAGGTGACATCTTTAATGACAAACTTCCTTCCACTATGACGATCATGACACTAATAACCTTTTGAGTAGGAAAATAGCCAAGAAAAACTCTTTTTTTTCAAAAAGGGTAAGGTATTTTTTATTCAAAAAGGAAGGAAAAGGAGTATATAAGAGGTATACAAAAGCAACAACCACCGCAAATCCCAAAAGGAGCCACTAACAGCCCGAGCATAATGCTCAAGAGCCAAAAACAACATGGCACAAGACACAAGTGAGGAAACCTGAAACCCAATCCTTGAACAAACCTAAAAGCCAAAGGTCTAGAAAAACACCCCCAAAAATAAAAAAGAACAGGTCCGCAAGTTAACAGGCCAAGCTGTTTCTTCCACTGTCTCTTCGACCCCTTCCCTTGTGTTAGAATACACGAATCATGGGTATTTTGGTCATTTTGGTTTATCTGTTTGAGAGTGAAAGGTCTATTTTATTTATGTTTTAAGTTATGTGTCCCATCTTTCGTGAGGGACAATATGGTCTTTCTTGTAACTCTATTATTTGAAATAAATACAAGTGGGTCGACTAGGAGGGACTGATTTTTCTTCTTCCTAATCTGGTCGAACCCTTCTTCTCTTCTTCTTCTTCTTCTTCTTCTTCTTCTTCTTCTTCTTCGTCTTCTTCTTCTTCTTCTTCTTCTTCTTCTTCTTCTTTCTTTTCTTCTTCTCTACTTTAACCTAGAATCGAATAGGGTTTTCTTACATGGTATCAGAGCGGTAAAACCTTGTTCTTCTTTCATTCTTCCTTGCTGCTGTCTTCTTCCTG